GAAAAAGTATACTTGAATTGGCGGAGCCTTGGGCGTTTTTCGAAGTCGCCCCCAAGAAGAACAGCAAGATTAGTAGCGCTCACGGACCATTTGCTGGTCCAAAAACTGTCAGAACTAACACCCAAAATTTCAAAAAAAATAATGTGATTAGCTTCCCAAATCCATTTCCGAAAAGCACTTCATAACTGGAAGTAAATGCGGGTGTTGTGCACGAGACATACAATACTTTGTACAAATTCTTACAATTCTAGAAAAAGATAGCAAAGTATAAAATTCAAACGGGAAATACGCGGTCCGTGTGTATGTTTGAATATGGCATGATAGGAAATTAAAAGTCTGTAACATCTCCGTGTTGCTCCGAATTATTGATTTCTCCAATAGTTCTAGTGGTTTGATTTGGCTTGGAGTTTTATTTCTAGTCCCTCGTTTTAACATCCATTGAGGGAGTTGCGATCAAGGAACTATATAGACTTTCGACTAAAATTTCCAGATGTTGCTGTTAGAACATAAGACTCGAATGACATGGAATATATTTTATAACAGTCGGGTATCTATTGCTCATGTTGATCAGCTTTCTGTAAAACATTACCTCCTGGAAGGCTTTATAACAATCCACCAGCTTAATATATTTATAATTCGAAACTTTACGAGCTGATACACGAGGACCTATTCAAATTAGCATTTTAACAATGGATTTGAGCTTTTTGATATTGTCATCGTATGAAAAAGTCATTTTACAAATTATATACCTTGATTATGTATGAGTTTGTAAACGTGGTGATTTGGTCAAATGTACATTTTAAATTGCGATTTAGATTTTGCGGCATGAAAAGAAAAAAATATAAAAAGACATTAAAGGTCATCTATGCATATGCATAGAGCTCATGCAAAATTGGGGCCATAATGGCTGTCATATTGGAATCGTCGAAAATAAATTTGTAGTCAATAAACAGAATCAACGTATTTTTTGTAAAAAAAAATCCGACCAAAGACACAATAGAAGGCACCCTTGTCCGCTTGTCCGGGGGGGGGGGGGCAAGAAATTTCGGGATGGCATGTACAGTGAGAGTGGTTTGGTGAAATAATCAGCGCATAATAGATCATATGTTTCCATGGGGGAGGGGTTCCCATTACTCTCAGCAAATCTCATTATTTATCTAGCAAGATTTTAACTTAAAATAAAAACTATATCATCAATGCAACACCGGACATCTAAGCTAGTACGTGCGTATACGATAAAATGAAAGTTAGTCATATTTTTTAATAATATCCATAATCTTTATGCGGAATCATTCAGATCCCCAATATTCTTTGGGTTCAAATGCTTTTCCACAATTATCGTGACTATAGACCAAAATCTGGCAAAAAATGTAAATTCGGATCTTTTTCGTCAAGTCTCTACAACAGAGTTAACAAAAATTGCGTAGGGTCCAGTGCAGTCTGAAGCTCCCAGAAAATAGATTCGAGGTATATTCAAACTTTAACCTTGGTACGAATCCCAGACAAGACAAGTTGTCACTAATGTATGAATGATCTCACATTTCCTGACCAATTGGCGGTATTATACACATATAGATGTCTATCAGCAGAGTTCAAGCCAATGTCAAAATTAACCACGGAGTTCTTTTGGGTGTAAAAGGGCCCTATCGAACACAACGACATGGAGTTAAATGGGCCCTCCGACTGTGCACCGAACGAGGACCCTAAGAATGATCTGCATATTTTCAAATCTAAATTAGAATATCTCGGTCATCCAATGGAACTTTGATCTTGTACTCAACCCAACATGTGGTGGGGACTGAATACGTTTCGGAGATCTGAACAAAATAAGAGGGAAGCTTACAATGGTCCGTATAGGTATATTGTACAATGGAAACTCTAAAGGCTATGCGTAGATTGAAATCCTAAAATGGCGCGAATCTTAAAAAATAAGAAGAAGAAAGATGTGACCGGGCTTAACCAATATTTGATATGCCAAGTTCATTAATGGAATATAGAAGCAAATTCAAACACCTGCGTGCCTATCTATAATGAACTGTCGGGTATCCATTTTGAAAAGTTTAATTAAATTCAGAACATTTCAAAAGCTAAAACATTTTTTCTAGAAATTTACTTCATCCCGAATGAACCAGATGCGAACATCATTATTTAATGAATTGGACTTTTAATATTCGGAATAAATCAAAGGCATTAATGTTATCGGTGTTATTATATTTCATTTAATGAACGTTACATTACACCGTGGGTGTATACTCCAACAGAGGGTGGTGGACTTTCCATAATTAATAAATTAAACCAACTTTGTAGATACGGTAATTTTTATTGTGAATTACCAAAAGCTTCAATCTGCCGTGGCCCAATCGAGAGAAAATAGAACCATGAAAACATTTTTCATTCAGAATATCCGAAAGTTGCATTTTATGAAAGATATCATTTATGTTTAATGTGATAGGATCGGGTTTAAACATTATGTTCAATAATTCCGGAAACTACAACAATGTCATTCATTTTAACAATAAGAAAATTACTGACAGTGCATCCCCTTGTGGGATATTACATATTGTGAAAGTAATAGATAACTGATGATAGCGATAGCCGTAATGTGACAGGAGAAGAAAGGCTATGTCCTAAACCGTAACAATCCAACTTTGTTTCTAAAAACTTTCATGATATAAAATCCGTTACGGATCGAAATACATTCATACATTGACAATGAATTAAAACCTTTCTGTCATTTAGTGGAAACACGTAATCGATCGATTAATTTGACACACGTCTAATAGATTAATTCAAATGGTTTATGTGTGAAAGAAAACAACCTGGCATTAATCATGGGACACCCTGAACACAAATTTATCTAACAGGTCTCCGTTTCCTTTTAATTTTTCTCACAAATTTATCCTGAGTATATTTCATTTTTTGTCAATCATTTGACAATTTTGCGACCTATTTAAGTCTTATCTTTTTTTAAATTATGAGAAATGAAATGAAATGGTGTTTAACGTCCTACATTTCTAAACCAATCGGACTAAAGAAGACGGGCTATCGGCGAAAGTTTACCTGGAAAGCGGCGCTATGGCCTACTCTTATTTCGAATTTCAACTGTAGAGGTTTACTTGCACACCAACTTATGTACGGTATTTCGGTGGTTTCTCCCATTATATCGACTAGGCATTGTTCCCTGTCACGTCCTTTGTCCTACGTCGTCATCTCCAGAGCAAATAATATAAAAATGGATATTCTATCACAATGTTTTTTTCTATTAATAATCCTCTGGTACTTACAAAGTTACCCATATCCCAAAGTGTAAACCAGCACGTTTTGATTTCCATTTTAAATTCTGATTTTCTAAATAAATTGCTTAGATATTTCTGGTTTTTTTTTTCATTTTTATTTCCCTTTATTCAAAGTACGTATATCATTTCCCGAGACTCCCTGGGTATGTGATTAAATTCGTAATTTAACAAAGGTGTGAATTCATTTAATATTGAGGTAACACGAGCGAAATCAATAGGGAACCAAAGTAGATTAACAATAAATTTTAATTAAAATCTGAGACGGGCTTCAACGTTTTTAAAGTAACCGTTGTTACTTTAGTAGTATAAATCATTTCCAATAGTCACCAATAACATTTTAATAACATAAACGCTCTTCAAACATGACAGTGTATTCCAGATATGAAAAAATCCAAATTGCAATGTTATTAGAAAAGGTAATATAATTCTTAGGTGGTGATAATATATACGTTATTGTTAACATGTGATCCAATTCCGTGTCAGTAAAACATCTATTTCATGAAGGTTACACTATAATAACTTAATATATTAAATTTGTATTTTAAAAACAAATTGTGGCGACTAAGGCTTTAATAAATATATGTAGAACACGCACTGTTTTAACTAAAAAAGATATATTCACGATGTTTAGAATTCCTTCATTCAGAAAAAAGAAAGGTGAAATGAAACAGCGACGTAGACAGATATACAAAGAATCCTGGTAGTTCATTTCAGTTTGTAGAACTTATTTTAAAATCCTTGATCCCATGTAAGTGTTGAATGGTTTCGTATAGTAAACATTCGACGTGAAATAATTACGGAAATGTGAGCTCACTGCCATACTCTAAGAACTTTTAAGAAAAATGGCGATTGTCTCAGATCCTTTATTTACTACATCAAATCTAATCGTATACATTTCTAGGATATATTTGTTTTGATTGGATCACTCGGTGTAAAACCCTTTCATAGAACAGGGAGATATAACTTGAATTTGCCATGATTAAATGAGCCTTTGGTTATTTGAATACACATCTGATTTAAAATGAATTACTCGCTGAAAGTGGTAATGCTTCTTTAAAGCAGAACTATTATTAATTTATAACAACTAACCACGTCCATCATTCGAACGGATTTAAAACATGGTATATTTACAGCGGGGTCATAGATAAACAACGGGCATTATTCAAGAAGATTCAAGTACTAGAGCGTAAACATATTATTCAACAATTAGTATGATTAAAAGCTTATTTATGACTACAATTTATTCTAGCTTGCATACACGTATTGCCACTTTAAGTCAGTGAGTAGGTCTTTAGTGTGTGTGTGTGTGTGTGAAATAACGTCCGCTTCCACCAAAGGTGATATCGCAGACAAAGGTCTTTAGTATTTTATACAGGTTTATGTGTTCTATTATCTAACCTTTTGCTGTATTTGTTACAGTTAACACGAAATAACAGTCTTATTATATCAGTGTAATATCCAGAAAATAATTTCTTTAACAATCATTCTAGGTATTAAAGAAATCTAAACACTGTCATTTAACTGTCATAAATATTACTCGTCTAAATCTGATATTAGATTGTGGCCAAAGAAACTTTAATTGTCCAATAAGACACAATCTTTTAATCCCACAGAATGGCACGATACGGACCAATCACCGTTTATGTTGTATCGATATTGGTTGTGGGCGATAGGCTTATTTGTGATTTGTTGGTTGTGATTTGATTGTGAAGGAAATCATCTTCGTGTCGGGTATAAGGTTTCAAACAACGTATCTCTGTATATATTGATATGATCATAATATTCTTTCATTCTGGCGCAACACCTGTGATAGTTTAAAACAAAAATTACGCTATTGATCAACTTAATCTAAATATTGCTAACTTTGAAAGTAAACTTAAGAGGAAGAATGTTTTAGTAGAGGAATAAACTATCCACATCCGTTCTTGTTAGAAACTTTTTAAAGGTAAGTTGAAAATGAAAGTATATTGGTGAATACTTATCTTATTTCAATAACGGTTAATTTAAATTAGCTACATATGTTTCTTGGTTTATATATATTATATTTTAATTAAGGTTTTATGGATGTCGTATCGTAATAGGTACAATAGCACAGTGACTATGTCATATCGCGACGTCTAGAAAGGGTAAGCATATCCTATATCGTGTACCACACAACTTTATGTAATTCATTCGTAGTATGCGGCAACTACTTTCTTGCAAAGACAAACCATTGAGTATGAAAAAATACGAAGCGGTTTAACATATAGCTGTAATGTGAAAATATTTTATTTCTATTGATTATTTTACATTTGATATTTGATTAAATGCTCGAAGCGAAAAAAAAACATGCTTTCAACAACAGCGGGGGCAGTATATTATCCTTATATAACTCATTGAAAGTAATCGCAATTTATTAAGTCTCCAAACCGGTTCATGTAGCTAACAGTTTTGTTTACTTACTGGGATTCAGATTATATTCACTCTTTTAATGTGGTTGTAAAAGGGTTTCTCATTCACGCTGACATAGACCTACGTGTTCAGTTTGTTGGGAAGCTCTGTTGCTTTTGCTATAAAGGCAGCACTGCATTACATCTTTTGTACACAACGAAGGAATATCTCTAATTTCTGAAAATGAGTTTTCGATACATATGCATTTGTCTTTCCTCTCGAGCAATACAGTATACATCAACAACTCGAGAGTCTGAGTGGCTTTAATTGCATGCAAAATGTTGTGTTAGTAGTTGGCTTATTTTCATTTTTGACATCCGGGTTACATATTATATTCGATGAGATTTAATTTTCAAATTTGACTGAAAGAAATTAAACCGAAGAATCGAGCTGGGTTCTATAAAACTGGTCTAATTAGAGATTGTCATAACTTTGGCACAGGTGCTGACAATTAATCGGGGATTAGTGAAACATTACGGATCTGTATTAATTAATTGATTAATTAATTAATGAATAACATAGACTTGTTTTGTGAATAGGGATCGTCATTAGAATATATTTAACCGAAGATAAAACAAATAACAACCCGGTTTTACACGTATAGCCATGTCAAGTTGATAAAAAATGGTTTTACTTTCCTATGCGACGCATAGTAATTAGCAAGTGAGGGTTAGGATTGCAATCGCATACTTTAAAAGGGTTAGTGGGAAGGTTAAAGGACAATATTGGTGCCAGTCATTATCACATATGTGATAGAACTGGTTAAATACATTCCAAATATAATTTTAACAGAGAGATCACTGCTACGATAGCTGAGTAATACAGGATTCACGAATCGGAAGTGACGAACGCCAAAGGAAAACACGGGACATACTTCTATATAACTGGCTGAAGTGCCGACTGATAACAGATACATGGGCGAATTTCTGCTCACTAATAATTCCTTCGAAGACCAAAAGTTGTTATATGGGACTGTAAGAGGATAGCTGACAATTCAATACAGTAATTGAATGTCATTAGATAAGAGAACACGAGAAAAATAGAAATAGCCCGTACATTCCCTTGTTTATATTCATTCTGTAGGGGAGAGCGGGGCTAGTTCGCACCATTTTCAATGAAACCAACATATCTCGATAACTTTTGAAGCTACGTTACCGTAGACCAGTGATTCCCAACCAGTATGCCGCGGCACACAGGTGTGCCGTGAGATCTTCCTATGTGTGCCGTTTAGTTTGAGCCATACTATGTGTCTATGACTAGTCTGTGGCTACAGTTGTATGCCGTCTATGATTTGCCATGTTTTTTATTTTGCAAAAAAAATCAAATATTTTTCATATATATTAAGTCGGGTGTGTCGCTGTTTTTTCATGTGTTTCAAGGTGTGTCGTTGGCACAAAAAGTTTGAGAACCACTGCCGCAGACCATACTAGATTAAAGACAGTGGAGTTGGCTAATTTACGGCATACATTAAATAGTTTTATTGACAGGCGTATCCAAGTAATTTCATCTCAAAGTCACCATGTCCGAATGGGCGAACATCAAGCCTCAGCTGTATGACAGTAAGTGATATGTACCTACGCCTATACATTTGCGATGCGTCACCGGTTTACTTATGCCCCCGTCAGACCGGGGTGGCGTCCTTACTGCGCTGCTGCGACCGTACGGCGACCAGAAAATGCACAAGGTCGCCGGCAAACGTGAACACTTAAAGATTATGCCACTTAAATATTATGTTAAACGTGAACACAACGCGCGAAAATGTCCCCAAAAACTACAAACTTGAAAGAAAAGTCGTATTCTCATAGTTTTACAGTTCAGATCGCAGAACCTTGGCGTTTGCTTTGAACATGCTCAAAATAAAGCGGTGACTCGGCGATCATTGGCGACCATGGTGACTACAGTACGATAGCTGACGTTTCCACTACGCTTATGGCGATCTTAACGCGCTCTAAAACTATTTTCCATCGCCGTAGCAGCGAAGTAAGGACGCTACCCCGGTCTGACGGGGGTATTATTAGGAAAACTTGCCGCTTTTAGAAAGAAGTGTATGTAGACTTTTCAGTTCAAACTGGCCCATGTCTAAAGGAAATAGGATAAACTTGAAAGAAAAACAGCTTCAGACTTTGAAATCTTTGTATGGTAAAGTCATGGGCAACGGCGTTGGTAATCAGGAACTTGAAAGTAGTCCCAATGTCGGACTTCGTCATACAGCCGAGGCTAGATGTAGGGTACTGGAATCTGCTGAGGTTTGGCCGAGTGGGCGCGAGATATGAATGGGGTCGGACTAACCCCGCTTTCCCCTACCTTATAAAAACATGGTAATGCACTGACTTTTTTTCTGTTTTTCTTTCGTGTTCTCTTATCTACTGGCAGTCAATTCTTTTTATAAATTGTTAGATATCCTCTCACAGTCTCACACAACAACTTTTAGTCTTCGAAGGAATTATTAGTGAGCAGAAATTCGCCCATGTATCTGTTATCAGTCGGCACTTCAGCCAGTTATATAGAGGTATGTCTCGTGTTTTCCTTTGGCGTTCGTCACTTCCGATTCAGGAATCCTGTATAACTCAGCTATCGTAGCAATGATCTCTGAGTTAAAATTATATTTGGAACGTGTTTAACCAGCTCTATCACATATGTGATAATGACTGGCACCAATATTGTCCTTTAAGTGGCCGTTATTACCTGTACCATTGTACCTGCAATGTATTATTATTACTTAAATTTGTATAATATGCATGCAGCCTACTAAACGCCCTTAAATGCGACGTTTATCAATAATTCTTTATAAATGTATAAAATAGCAGTATTTCGCACTAAAATCTCAGGTATATTATTGTCTTAAACTGTTGCAATGCCATTTAGTAACTGGGCTGATAATTGGTATAAATTTGCTAAAAAAAAAAACTCGTGTCGCAACTACGATTTCTTCGAAACCGTCCATTTCCGCACTATAGCTGTTTGTTAATTATTTTTCATCAGTACGAATGCGTACCGTTTTATTAGAATTTCGCTAAGATTGTATCATGACAGCTGCCACGAATTGCCCGTTCCACCAATAATGGTAATATGACATCAAACGAATTCAACTGTTTGAGCGTCTTGAACTTTGTTCATGACGAAAGTTTACGGATCCTTTAGACCCTAGTGAACTTATAAATCGTCAAATAACTTTTCCCTGACAAATTTTTGTTTAAAGAGCCAATCTCGATTATATTTTGGAGAATAAAACTGCTTAATTTTATGTTAATAGCCCTTAAAAACCTCTACCTTCGGACCGAGCAACTAACTCAATATTCGTTTTCAAACAACTTAAACCCGTCAGTCTTCATCTGGAAATGGAAACCGGTGTCCCAAGCTATATTATACGATATCTGGATAAAACTAGATTCTTTTTATAAAAAAAAAACGCGTAGGTGAAATTTACCTTTCGTTATCAAGTACAGCACGTGGGTCATGCACTGTATAGACATCTAAAGCAAAGGCAATAGATTACCAGGTCACCGAAAGAAAAACACGAACCGAAATCTGAAAAGGGTTACGTGTCCGGATCAGCGCTTTTGACGTTCACGTCCAAACGACTTAATATTTTGAGTTGAAATTTGAGACAAGGTAAATACAGTATTCCTCTATATTTTGGCGCTTAAATTTCATACCTACACGGACTTTTATTTATGTTAAAATCGGGATGGTCTTTTTAAAGTTCACAATGGTTGGTATTTAAATTACATCTAAGAAGTCAAGTGGCGCGGTATCTGGTGATCCCTTATTCCCGAACGATATCTTGGAATCAGGGATTAGGGACTTATTGTGCAAAATATCTCTCTTTCACTGAAACTTTAACCCTATTTGTCCCCCGTTGCTGGCCACTGACCACCGGACTCGAGAGGTTAGAATAAGAATTAGACACCAAGAATATGTGAGCAGGAGTGATTTTTACACCAAGTCGTATTTTAATGGTCAATCAAAATTAACTCATTTCTAGCACGGGCTCAAAAGCCCTAAATATATATAGGTATTACAACTTTCACAATCAATTCCATAGCATAATCCGCTTACTATTTCTTTCCGCACTGTTTGTCGTGTATTTTGTACACGGTGAACAGTCCATATGCTGATTACACTATTTTGCCTTATTACAATATTTTGCCTATACCGTTTTTTTAGGACTTCTAATTATGTCTAATGGTTTGGATTGTTCGTACTTGGTTTTATTTTATTTCTAAACCCTAACCAAAAATAATCCTCAAACTAAGATTCATTCTATTTTTAAACCATTGGGTAGACACATGCGCAAATGAAATGACCATTGATAGTCCAACATAATGGTTAGATAAGATTGGCAGTATTCATGACTGGGTTAATAAGTGATTACTTTTTGGTATAGACACGTAGTACTTTGTCTTTGATGCATCGTGACAACGTCAGAATATAACTGACATTGGACAAATATAGTATTTGAATTTGAATTACCAGTATCTGTTTTTAAAATCTTTTCCATATTAAGCCATTTAA